ATATATATATATATATGCATATATTATATTGGTATATGTTATATATATGCATATAATTTAAACATATATTAGAAAGTGATATATTAGTGATGATGTCAAATATATGCCAATTAAATATTTTCCTCTCTCAGAGGTCAGAGATATTCTTATAACTTCCTTAAATGTTATTCCATCTACAAGGGCAACTTTATATACATTATAGCTAAACTTACAAAACAAGGGTAGAACTATTTAAGAATTGCAGCAGGGTGTTTATTCAACTGAGGGTCCTTACAAAATATAAATCCCACATTTACCATAGAGAACTAGATTGCACCATGTATATTTATCTTGAAATGCTCTGAATTTCCATATCAATTCCTTTTTTGGACCATATTTTTTCTCACACACTGTTTAAAGTTGATCACTGCTGCACTTTATGGAATGGAAATGTTCATTTTCCTGCTAAGCTGCTGCTCATGCACTGTGTGAAAGCTTTACAAAACAATTTTTTTTTTGTATATACAGGATTTATACAAAATGACAATTAAACTTGTCTAAGTGATCTATTAAACCACTGAGAAATGGTTTGATGCAGCTGACCTGGGAAGCAAAGATCAAAATGTGATGACAGACATCAAACTAGACAGCCAAAGCTCAAGAGACATCAGAAGGCCACTGGTAACACAGCGAAGGTCAAACAAAGCAAAAGATAACAGAAACAGATTCTGCTTGATGAACAGCAGTATCCACATCAATCTCTGACATAAAGTGACTCTTTAAATTGAACTTAATTAAACTAATTTCAACCAATTTTAATGGATCAGTTTCTTAAATGACAGCTGGAGGTAAAACCAACTGATCTTAAAACACAAATCTTTAACAGAATATCACTAAACTGTGTCGATTTATCCACTTCCACTTTTTCCAGTGTTGCATATCTGTTTAAAAAGGGTCATGGGATACACAATGACTTTGCTATAAAAGATTTAAGTATTTAACAAAGCATTACATCAAATTATCTTAGTGACAGAAGGAAAACAGCCTTTGAACTCTGTTGTCTGATGTCTCTACAATATGGACATAAAGAGGAAGTTAGAAATGGGAAGGTGAAAAAAAGGGTAAACACACAGTGTTTTATGGTTCTATTGATGTAACCAAATAAAGGCACAAAACATTTGGGTTTGGAGATGAATAGGTAGAGCAGGATTCTTGTAGCTGAATTTAGAGCAATTAAAAAAACAACTGGTGCTGTTTTACACTGATAAAAAAATGCTGGTCCAGCAAACAAATACCATCTTTTTGTAAGAGCTTTTTAGCTCGCTTGATAACTCCAGTCTCTGTGGTAAAGATACGTTATCTGCTGGAAGCTGTTACTATGACAACAGCCCTGTGAATGCAGCGTAGCATTTTCCAAAATGAGGGTGAAGAGAGCTTGAACCGCTTGAGGAAACAAAGTGTTAATAAATCAGTCTAAGAAGTGCAATAAAAAGTATTCATGTTGTTAATGCAAATTAAGATGGGGATAGATATCTAAACTGCAACTACATTAATCACAAAACACTCACACAACGTCTAATAAATTAGGAAAATGTGATCAGATATTTAAGAAAATAAAAAAAAATACTCAATACAACGATAAGAAAAAAAAAATGATTTTCAGAAATTGCCAAAAACCAAATAAAGAGTATTTATTCAGAACAAATTCAAAACTTTGGACACATTAAGCCATAAACCATCAAAATGTTCACATCTTCCCTTCTTTGCTCACTAAAATATCAAACGTGGGCTCTAAAATGGATGGCTCTGAGGAACTGGACAAAAAGATTATGAACAGCATGAAGGTGGGGATGATCTAATAGGCTACCAAATTTTACATCCAAACAGTCATTTTAAACTAAGATATGGATTTGATTCAGTTTAATTCAATTCAGCAACCATTACAATGATGTTTAATTTAATATGTTTTTCCTTTTCTGAAGTTTATTTCATGTGGTGGCTATGATTTCCTGATTATAAAGACATGTAAACAGAAAACACAACCTGCTCTCAGTAAGGATGGAGATCAGCTATGAATCAGCTACCTGAACTATGGTGGAAACTTGTATAGAATTACCTCTGGATCTATAGCTGGACATATCTATGAACCCAGAGGAATCAGTGAATATGATGCATTTCCAATGTGACCTCACTTTTTTCACTTAGACAAATAATGGTGAATGCTGAATCATCCACTAAACATCCCCCCCAAAAAAACAAGCATTTCTCTTTAAAAAATAAGGCTTTTTTTGCACCCATACAGCTTTGTGTGTAGTAAGCTTTACACACAACATTATAGATACTGGTAGACAGATGGTTTGAGCTGAGCTAAAAGGGCTCAAAGCTCAGGTGGACTCAGTTTCCCCACACTGCAAGGTCACTGTCCACTGCAGCAAAGAAGATCAGATTTGCAACACTTTGCTTTATTTCATGTCTTTCAGTAAAAATAGCATCTCTGACAGACAGAAAAACAACCAGAACAAGGTCTGGCAGCATTATTTCTGCAGATGGTTCAGAATTAAATAGGCTGGAGGGGAAACCAAAATGAAGGCTTGTCATGTAAGCAACATAACCTGGCAGAAACTGTGCGCGCGGCACAGAAAATGACCTAAAATGACTTTGATCCCCTAAGAATCTTTCTTATGGAGGCAGTAAATTAGGGGTCTATGCCTATTTTTACGATAGTTATCTAACGGGGAATTCTGGTCCTTGAATGCATCATGCGAGAGTAAACAGATAAACTTCACCGGGGATTTATGTAGGCCCCACTAAATAATCGGCTTGCCGGAGCGTTTGTCGGTGACAGAAAGTGCGAATAAACAGAAATAACCCGGATAATCGTGCGCCACTTTGGAGCGCTCGGTTCTTAATGTGTCCTTTGGAAAGACTTTGAACCTGCTTTATAATAACATAGATGCAAAGCGGGCCGAATGCACCTCCATCCCCCGCACCATCAGATAAAGCTACTTACTTCCCGACGAAGTTCTCCAGAACCGAGCTCTTCCCGGCGCTCTGGCCGCCGACAACCGCGATCTGCGGCAGATCCAGGTTCGCGTTTTGGCCGATGGCAGAGAAGGCATCCTGCATGCGGTTTACCAGAGGAATCAGATCCTCCATCCCTCTGTTCCCCATCTTTGCGGTGCTAGAGGAGGGTCTAACCTCTTTGTCAGCGCAGGGACCCTGCTGTTCAGAATGAGCTTTATGATTTTATTTTGATTCTGTCACGCTTTACTTCTCTGTTTGCTCCCTCATCTGCAGGCCTGCATCGGTGTCAGATAACCAAAGAGACAGGACTCTGTCCACAACAATCCTCAACAATCACCGCAGGGGGCGGAGGAGGAGGAGGATCTCTATCCATCCCTGAGGCAGGGGCGGAGCTAGATGGGGGTCCGAGGGGGGTATGGCCACCCTTAGTCAATCACAGGCCACCCTTACCATTTATTTCTCTCTAATATAGATGGCAGCAGTAATAATCTCAACTGGAATATTCAAAATATTTTGATTTTTCATGTATTAACAATTACTTGACAACAAAGACACAGTGGTTAATTATGCACCTCAATATACTAACATTAAAAAGGAGGATAAGTACAGAATTCAAGCAGAAATAGATTTTGTGTTTTATGGGGTAAAGAGAAAATCATGTGTCTCTACAAGTCATCTGAGTCTTCAGTGAAACAGATAAATAACTATTTTAATAAAAACGATATTTTAGTAGGCTACTTGTAAATATCAATTTTATGCAGAATGATTATTGATAGAAGTAGGTAAGTAATGACAATGGAAATGATGTTCGCCCCAAACTCAAACCTGAAAGAATTTTATCAACTATACCTTTTATCCAGAAAGCACGGATGTTTGAATATATATTTATCTATTTGTTAGCAAAGGCTGTGGGAAAGTGTAGTTTGTCTTTATTTTGAAAATATGGATGTTTTGCTCGTTAATTTTCCTGTTGGAACAGGGTAGATTGACAGTGAGGTTTTGGTGCCTATGTATTTTCAGCCATCCCTTAGTGTACATTGTTATTGCCTGGCCACCCTTATAAAAAAATTCTGGCTACCCCTCTGACCTGGAGTACATTCAATTGACCACTTGGTGGCGTATTTTCCTTTTCTTTCTGAAATGTGTTTCTTTCCCTCTCAGAGTGTTTTTCATGAATTTCTTATAGAAGCGCTTTTGTTATTTTTCTTAATATCGCAAATTGGCGTTTGTTGTTACAATTTTTACCGTCAAAAATATCCATATTTATTGAATGACACAAAGGTAATAAGGTCTTGTCCTGGATTCCAATAACACTATTGGCTTGAAATTTTGATTTTCAAAGGATTTCACTGAGTGCCCTATAAGGGGTTAAAAACATTTCACTGTTTTATATTAACATTATTAGTTTTTATAATTCACTTAACCCTTACTTAATCATAAACATAAGCAAAGGTTTCAAGTTGTAATGGATAAAAATCTTGAAGCCAGAATTTTGAAATGTGAACAACTATTTAAGGCTTAAATAATACCTATGGTTTAAGCAGTAACTTTGAATATTATATTCATTTTTTCCCACATTACAAATTAAATTAAAACTATCAGATTGAAACCTAAGTTTGACTTCTAGTCTCGTAATGGTGTTTTCTGAAGAAAAATTCACCTTGTAAGACTGATTATGAGAGAATTAGGAGACAAAATCCACACGTTTGGATATTAAAGTTTACATTCAAAGCAACAAATATGTACGTTAACATTCATTCAGGTATATAATTATGACTTTAAACTTATTTGATTTTGTGTATATTTTCCTTTCAGTGTCCTATATCTTGCAAAGTCAGAGTTTTGAGTTTCAAAATCAAAGCTGCAAAGAAATGTTAAAAAACCCATTTAAAAACTACTCCAACAATCACATTTGGACTGGATTAAAACCTTCTTGTTCATTCACTCATGGTTTCTGGTAACTTGGAAAAAAACATGTTGATTTTAAAAACATATTAGGACTACTTAGTTCAAACTAAACTATGTGAATATGGCTATTACTATAACATGCATTCACTTTGCACAATATAAACACAGTAAAACCATTCTATTTTAGAATTTAAATATTTAATCTTTTCACTGCATGTAGCTATCATTGTCTTTTTCGTTGGAATATTATCTGAATTAAAATAATTTCATCCTAGGATAAAACAAAATTACTCTTAATAATTCACAATGCCGCAGTTCTCCTTTTTTAGTTTCCAGGGGAACCACAAGGGGGCGATATAGTCCAGTAATTTCCTTTATTTTTTCTGTGGGGTTTTGGATTTCAGGGGAGCAGGTTCGCAGCGAGTAGTTAACTCAACAATATGACTTTTGCTAGAAACTAAAACCAGCGTCCTCATTTTGTTCTTTGCATCAGAATCAAAGGAAGCCCGAGGTAAAGTGTACAAAGTTATTTTAAACGGCTATATCGTTGAAATAGCCGGCTAGGTGAAAACTGTGCTAAGCTAACCTGTTGTTTTCTATGTGAGTGATGGCTAACATAACATTAGCGTCACTCACGTTAGACAGGTGTAATTATATTTAGCTAATAACCTCAACTAACTATTAGTAACCTGCTTCTATGTGATTATACGATATCCTCTCGCTGGAGGTGTTACTTTAAATGCGGATTTTATTTTGTTCTGTTTTTCATTCGGAGCTAAGTTAGCATAAAGTTAACGTTGATGATTTAAGCTAACGTTAGCCAGTAGCTCTGTAATACGAGAGTAGCCTGATGTCTGAGGCTGTGCGCAGGATTATAGTGTTTGTCAAACCGCAGGTCCCTCAAGGACAAATTAAAGCCGTTATTCTTAATATTTTACCATCCGATTCAAGGTTCTTATACTGTAAAGACTTTTGCACGTTTGTCTGACATCGCAGTGCGAACCAGCAGAGGGTATTGTCGTTTCTGCAGTGATGTTCAACCCACACATCCATCAGCAGCAGCAGCAACAACAACAGCTTCACCAACACCTGCGACAGCTGCAGCAACTTTTCCAGCAGCAGCCTCCACCCCCTCCTCCAGCGCAGCCGCCTCCCGCTCATCATGTCGGTCATCACCACCAGACTCCTCGGTAAGACCGTTAACTCGACCCCGGGGATTATTTGAGGCCCTTCGGTGTGAAAGATGTTCAAACTTCTGGCGGCGGAGCTTGAATTGAAAACAGGATCCACAGAAACATGCTTTCGAGCTCTTACTTCCAGTCTCTTGGCATGGTGTTCATTATTTTATTGTTTTATTTACATTATGTTCAGTTAAACAACAGGTTTCAATTCATCATGGCATAATATGAAAGGGTTATGTTTGTTTTGTCTGTTGTTTACCTAATTGTATTGTATTTGTTTACAATAAAAGGAAAAAAATAAAATATCAAGTGAGACTAAAATGAAATTGTGTAGCTTACATGCAAACTATAACTTCTTGTGAAATGCTACCTTCCTTATCACCCCTAAACACAACACCTTGTGGGAAATACTCCTTTCTTTAAGTAAGTAATTTGTCAGAGCTTCTAGGATGATGGATGAAAATAGATTTTAGGGCAGCCTAAAGCCTCCTTCTCTCTAATTAAGCCATAAATGAATAAAAAAATAAATAACAGTCAGTTCAGATGATTTATGAAATATGTGAATCAGGAAATTGTCTATATACCAAACTGATCGATTGTTGTTCTCTACCTAAAGCTACAGTGTGTAATAATTACAGGGATATACAGTCAGAAATGTAATATATTATACATAACTATGTTTTTTATCATCATCTATGAGCTCAGCCTCTTAACCTTAATATTTGCGTTGCCTTAGAATTCTTTATTTATAATTACATAGGAGCGGGTCTCGCAGCCATGGAGGCAGACATCTTTGCGCTACGGCAGCGCAGAGCCAACAAACTAGCGATTGCGAGATCGCCCATTACGCTCGAAAGTAACTACGGCAAGTTGAGAGAGATGAACTGAGACGGTACTGAAATCTATACCCAACACAGACTAATGAAATACTATCTGTAAAATTATCTATGTAAACAAACCTATCACTTGAGAAGGTAGGTGATGCGGACGTCGTGGAAGACATTTTGTCCCGTAACGCTCGCCGTACTGTTGGGGGGGAGGAGAAGCGGTGGGGGGGGATGTTCATGTTGCTGCGGTCTGCAGTCTGGACGTTAGATGTCGCTGAAAATTACACACTGTAGCTTTAAAAAAACACTTTCGATTTTTAATGTTTTTATTTGAAAAGTCAATGTATAACATGGATGCATAAACACCGAATTGTATTTTAGTGTTAAATTATGTTTAAAGTAACAGATTAATTAAAAATTTCTCCGGACCTTTACTGGTTGATGATTTTCTTTATTTGGACCCTGCTGATTTTTAATTCGTTACCCATGGGTTAGAGCCTCCAAAGACTAAAGGCTGAAGGGAAACTTCACCTCTCAGCTGTCAAAGACTTAATTTGCTCAGTTAATTTAGACTTTTCTTTTTTTATGATGAGTGAAACTATGACTTCTTTTTTTTTTTTATTAGAATGTTCAGGCTTTAAAGAAAGCTTTTATGCTCTGGAGGGGAAAAGGGTATGCATATTGGTGAATATTTACTATCTGTCTTTGTGCAGTGCCATTCCCGTTCCTACTCAGGCGGCCCCTCCACCTAGGATGGTCAACTTGTGCCAGACAACCCAAACAACCCTCATTGCCCCCAATCCAATGTTGCAAAGTGCTATCCTGATGCAACAGATGCAAGGTACAGCTTGTAGTCGTCTTTATAACGCAGTGCCCTGAGATAACAGTAGAGTTGGATTTTTTGAAGTTGGAAGTACTAATGTTGTCAGGTTGCTTTTTTTCCTGTTTTAGTCTAAACCTATACACTACTAACAAAGCCCATCTATCGGTCTGCTCTCATGCTGCTTTTTCATCCAGGTAACATGCGGGGCTTTGGGATGGGTGGGCAGCAGTTCCGGCAGTTCTTTACTGCAGGAGCCAGGTCATCACTACTCGGGCCAGTTCCCATGGGAATGGCCATTAAATCCCCCATCATGGGTTTCCCAGCTGCACGAGCCTTCCACCCGCACTCTCGCTTCTTCAACGCCGGAACAGCTTCATCCTCCTCCTCCATCTCTGCAACAGTAATAACAAAAAAATCATTTTATTTATATTTCTGTGTTTGTGAAACTCCTGTTGTGAATATGGAAGATGATCGTATTGCATTTGAATACATTTTTGAATTGAAAATATTAATTTTGACTAACGTTAACAATTTATGTACATTGCTGTTGCAACAGCTGCATTTAATGCAATAGAAGTATAATGATTTGTC